AGATGGCAGCCAAGTCATATGGCTGACCCCATATTGATGAGGTCATCAATCAAGATGGAGACCAGGTCCCATGGTGGCCTCTCTTTTGGTGGGGTTAGCAGCCATGATGGTGACCAGGTGACATGTCACCTTATGAGCACAGCACCATGATAAAATAAGCCCATAACCCACCAGAATAGAAACCAAGTGGGATTCACGTACCTCACAGGTTAAATGTGAACAGCAACCCTTTTTACTTTTAGAAACACCCAGACCCTTAGACTGTCTGTGGAGAAATCTGTTCTTATCATGATGGGTTTGCCATTAGAAATAAATTGGTGCTTCTCTCTTTTCAGTATCTTGTTTTGTACAATTAGTTTTAATCATAATAGGAAATGGGGAGGTGCTTTTTAAGTTCTTCTACATTTGGCATTCATTATCCCCTTGATCTTGATGGGACTCTGTCTAGATTATGGAAATTGTCTGTTATTTCATTGACTATCGTTTATGCTTTATCTTGTATGACTTCTTCTATGCCCATGCTTTGTAAATTTTCTCTATCCATTGGGTCCATAGATCTCATCATTTTGAATAGTATGCAAGGGTCTTTTTTCCCCCAACAGTAATAGAAAAGTTCATTCCTTGGATCTGATAGAGATCAGAATAAGTATTCAGGAACATAGTCTTGAGAAGAGAAAAATGTTGGCAAAGACATTAAGGAAGAAACTTTGAGATATCGTGAAATCTACTGGTCATCAAGATCTGGCTATAGGGGGTTGGAGAGATGGATCAGCAATTAAGAGCATGGGTTGTTCTTGCAGAGGATTTGGTTTTGGTCCATAGCACCCACATAGAGAATAATAATCATCTATAACTCCAGTTCCAGGGGACGTATTGCCCTCTTTTGGCCTCCCTGGGCATTGCATGAATAGGTGTATTTAAAAGCAGGTAAAACTCATACACAGAAACAAAAAATGAGTTTAAATAATTTTTAAAAGATCTGAGTCCAGGTGCTGATCTGTGGTGGCAGATGCCATTAATCCCAGGACTCAGGAGGCAGAGGCAGATGCAGGAATATCTCTGAAGATCAAGGACAGTCTGGACTATGTAGTGAGTTCCAGGTCAGCTGGGATTATAGGGAGACTGGTCAGAAGAGGAGGAGGAGGAGAAGGAAGAGGAGGAGGAGGAAGAGGAGGAGGAAGAGGAGGAGGAGGAGGAGGAGAAAAAGATGTATCTAATATTCTTTGCCCTATATTTTAATATACCGTTTACATTTGACATTTGTGTAGGGGCACCACACCTAAATTAAAATAATCAAGGATGACGTATGGCTGAAATAAACAAAGGCAGCAAATGAGAGATGAAGAAATTCATAATTTTACCAGTATCTGCATTTAATGTTTGTGTGTGTTTATGCCAAATTGCACTTGTGGAGGTCTAAGGACAACTCACAGGAGTTGATGCTCTCCTTCTGCCACATGGCTTATAGAGATGCAGCTCAAGTTGTATAGCTTGGCTCCAAGGGCTTTCATCAGGTGATCCATTTTATTGGCCTCAATCAGGCATTAGAATCATTGAAGATTCACATTCTTTATATTGAGTATATGTTTCTCCATGTCTACCATTACTTGTACTCCGTATACTATTGCACTTGAAGTTTGGAATACTCAAAACAATATGTTCTGAAATTCCTTTAATTTTTTTCATGTGGGAGCTGCCATCACACAAGTGGCCTGCTCTAATTTGGGGAAAGATTGGTCTTTAATATATGAATTTTTACATTTCAAGTAGTGGATCATAATTTGAGTGTTAATAGCTTGATATTTTGTCGGATTTTACTTTGGGGAAGAAAATGAGTCACGGTACAAAAGCAATCAGCTATCAGTACACTAGCATTTGGAGCTCCCAGGCCCTCTTCAAAAGCAGCCAGTACACTTAACCTCTGATGCATTTTTACAGCCCCTGTATTTGTGTATGTTTGACTGCATGGGTATATGGGCAGCATGTGAGGGCCTGGTGCCAGCAGGCCAAAGGTCACATTGGATTTCCTGGAAATGAAGTTACATCAGCTTGTGAGCAGTTATGTGAGTGTGGGGAACTGAAATTGGGTTCTCTGGAAGAGCAGTAAACGCTCTTAACTGCTGAGCCATCGCCCTCCTGCTCTTGTGGAATCTACATGATGTTGGGAATGGTGCTATGCTACTTGAAAGGCTGGCTCTGGAAGTGGGGCTACTCCCCTTTATGCACCACTTCAGACAGAAGGAAGCCAATCCCCAAGTGTCCTCTAAGGCTGATTGTTTGAGGACACATCCCCCCAAAGTCTTTCTGTTCCAATTATGTTGTGACTAGAAGGAATTGTAGAAAAAAGACAAGGTATTACCTCTTTAAGTTGCCACGGTCAAACCACCAAGATTTCATTCCTCACCCTCAATTGTTAAGGATACAGCAAGGTGGATATCTAAACAGGTTTAAGAGGTTGCTTTCCCTGGAATTCTAAAACAAAGCAGGAAATGTATCAACAAAGATGATACAGGTCCTTGGAGATACAAGAACTCCCATAGAGATGTCCTTCTAAGAGCTTTGTGGGTCCTACCATGTATCTCTAACAACAACCTCATCCACAAGATGGGCATGGGTTACCAGGATTTCCTAGCCCTTGGGTGGGAACTGAAGCCACTTAATTTGGAATGACTTCTACAGGTGAAACTCTGCAGTGAAAGTTGGAGTGTCTGACCTCAGAACTGTTATCACCTAGCAGGCTTTACCATCCCACCAATTCAATATATGATCTCTGCCCAGAATATCTAAAGAGATAAGGTGATAGTGATTTGTCAAGATATAGTCAATTTAAGGGAGGGTTTTTTTTAAAGTTCAGGTAATATTAATACCTACCTATTTATTAAATACAGAGTAAGCCTACACACATTTTGAATGTCACTGCTTAAGGTAAATATGTCTTCTGCAACTTTCATGATGAAGACTAACCTCAAAATGAAAATTATGACATCACACACTTACCTGACTCACAACCCGAGCATAGATCTCACACCTACTACATGCACACTAAGAACACTCCTGGAAAAGAATTCCACAGCAATCAACCAAATGGAAGAAATGTTACCATGCACTTTATAGCAACATTTGACCAATAAAGCATTTGTAATTGAATGTCAAATTAAGTAATCATATATTTTTGTGTGCATGTACTCATTCATGTCTGTGAGTATGGGGTCCTTGTGTCAGGTGCTGGTTGGAGGTTAGAGGACACCCAGAAATGACATTCCTCACGTTCTACCTTGTTTAAACCAGGGTCTTGGTATCTCTCCACTCTGTACAGCAGGCTATGTGGCCTATGGGTGTCCAGGCATTCTTTTGCTTCTGCCTCCTACAGCATCATAGGTATTTTGGGATTGTGTGTGTGCACTGCTGTATCTGAGTTTATGTAGATTCAAATCTCAAGTTTTCAAACGTGTAATGAGCTCTTTACCTACTGAGCCTTCTTTCCAGTTCAAATGTTTTTAGGATGTCCTTGACATTGTGAAGACCCAGAAAAGGCATATTTTACTCTAGTGAACAAGATTGAGTTGTTCTAGACATGGCTAAGTACTTTGTTGACCCAAAAGATATGCAAGGCAATGTAAAAAAAAATACTCATATCTTTTAGAAGAACTTTAGTAAAATATTATTATACTTTTATTGGAATCTATCCTTGGTACAAGATTATGTACCACCATTCAATGGCATATGCTTACCTCCTGCATTTTACAGATCAATAGCAGGGAGGCTCTTCATTTTTTCAAGGACACAAGTGATTGGAGACATCAACAGAATCATATTTAACATCTTCGCTTTATTTTCTTTGTGTGGCCCATTTCTTCGATTTTTCTCAGATGGTCTTATATTTAATTCTCAGAAATAGGCTCCCCCACCTCTCAGTGGGGATCCACATTCAAATTGTTACAGCTGAACCCAAAACATCTCAGGTAATTCTTGTTATCATAGCTAAAGTGATTGATTTTTTTTCCATATTGAGACTTTGTTCTCTGTCATTTCATTCTGTCTTTTGTTCTCTGTTATTTTGAGCATTAATACCCCAAATATCAGAATTAGTAAAAATTTTTTCCCTTATATATAATAAAGAGAAAAAAATCTGACACTGAGGTGTCCCCTAAAAGTTCCAGCTATACTTTGTAACTGAATAGCCAGAATGTATCCTAGCTTCAACACCCTACAGGAGTTTACTGAGGCTGCAGTCGTAGCTCTGAAACTTGTTTTCAAGAATTAAATATACCAATACATGTAAAATATAAATGAATTTTCAAAAATTATATGTGAACAGAAGCAAAACATGTTACCTGTCCTGCAGAAATTTGAAATTAGTCCCTTTATAATACTTAGAAATTGTTTTTGATAAATTGATTTCTCTGGTGCAGTATATGTGTACACCAGATCAAATGCAGAGAACTGTGGATCCTACAGAAGAACTTGGCCAATAGAAGATCACCATCCATCAATTCTGTTTCTCTACAACCCACCCTGTTACCAGATACTGTTCCACAAAGAATGCTGGAGAGGAACAGAACTGACAGAATGTATATGTGCCATGAAAGAGGATTTTGTAGATTAGCTCAAGTGGTATTGATCTATGTGCAGGAGAGAGATGACAATCCAGAAGCTACACAATCCACACAGTTGGATGCCTCAGCAGCTCCATTTTGGCAGAGAATGGCTGGAAAATTCCTCGAGTTGCTGCTCTTTAGTCCATGTTGGCAGGTCAATTGAGCTGCAGTCTGTCACTGGAGGATTGTTAGCAGCAACAGCAGCAGCCACAGGAGTAGACACACTCAGCAGAGAGAGAACACATGAAGGCAGGAAACACTGCTTTTTTCTCAGACATCTTTATTTAGGTGCAAATCACATTTTACCTGTTCACAATCTAAGCCCCAGATCTAGGTGTTACACCAGGACACACACATAAGCCAAATCATCCCTTCCATACTGGAAAACACACCATATATTATCTATGCCTATAAGTGACAGATGGAAACATACTCTTACAAGTGTGGACGCTGTCAGAGGCCTCTTACAAGCATTTTCAAGCAAGTGAGTAACAGGTAAACCTGCCAACAAAGCTTTCCCCCAAACCAGCGTTTGTATTGAAGAGGACACAGTGAAGACCACTGACCAGGCAACTCCATGCGGGGAGGGGGCAGCAGTTTATTTGAGAGCAAACAGACCACTGGGCCACCTCTCATGGAGCAGGGAAACAGCAGCAGAGAAACAGCAGTCAGCAGGGGCAGTCAGACATCTTTTATTGGCAGTTAGGTGGGTTAGGTAACTTTTCATGACTTATGCTAGGCAGTTCAGCTCAGGATTCATCTCTCAAAAAGAAGAGGGACTTGCCTGGGGCAAGTTCAAACCCGCCAGTTTTAGAATATTGGGAGCTGTGCTGCCATTTTAGGAGCCTGTTAGGAACCTAACACTGTTAATGTAGGCACCCATGGAAAATTGACAATGACAAGGCCACTCATTTCCCAAACACTGATGCACAGACCTCAACTAAAGGCAACCAGGTGCAAAAGTACGTTCCCTACTTCACAAACATACTGGGCTGGTTAATTTTTTTAATAGGTTATTAGTAGTCAGGCGTGTTGGCACAGGTGTTTAACACCAGCAGCACATGGGAGGGAGAGTCAGGTATCTGTTCCACAATCCAGGAAGGCTATTGCCACTACTACTGCTGGTTACATGCTGAAACTAGATGGTAAGTCAATACTCCTGAAGACATCACATGATCAGGTTGTAGGACCTGAAAATATGATGCTGGAAGGTGGAAGCTTCTTCCACTCTGGCTGGCTTTCATGGTGAAGGGTGCAATGCAGATTTCTGGGAGAGAACTGGCACCAACAGTCCCGCTTGTCTACAAAACCTGTGTGACCAGTACCAACAGGACAGGCATAATATGCCTCCTGGTGCAACAATGGCCCAACTACTCTTGAGTACAACAAATAGTTTTCAGATTGGATCGACAGCCTACTTCACAGGAGAAAGTTTGTGTCTGATATTATAAGCTGGGAACAAAATGTGTGGCAGGAGAGGTCATACTCCACAGCAGGGAAGCAACTGTCATTGTTGTTAGGTGGATGTGATGTGCCTCTCAAGTTGCCTTCCTAACATTTCAGTTTATGCTTACAGATCACTACTATTGTCATCTGCAATCCATCATGGAATGAAACTTCCTTTCACAATGGATGGTACACCACAAAGACTCAGAACCAATGATGAAGATCTGAGAAAATGTGAGTGCTTCTCTGGCACGGTGGCCCAATGTTAGCCCAAGGTGGACATTCACATCCACCCCCAGACCCCTAAAGATATAAAAGCATTACAAAAAATTCTCACATAGCACTGTTGCTGTTGGGAACTGAGACAGCTCAATTCTTACCCCTGTTCTTTATATTCCTGGAGGTTTGAGACTGAGTTCCTATCCATAACTGAAGTGAACTCAGATATGAAGCATTAACAACACTTGGATTTTACATCTCTAGCATTTTTTTCCCATGAGTTGACATTGAAAGAGCACTGTGGTGTGAAACCACTCTATTGTATAATTAGGTTTGGCAGCTACAGGCACTGTCACATTCACAGGGTTCTTTGCAACAATTTCCTCTTCTCATCGAAAGAAATACGAAATCTAAAGGTTTCCTCGATGCTTGCATTGATAGGGTTTTTCTCCACTATGAATTTTTGGGGGGGAGTGGAGGGAGGATCAGAGTTTAGGCCTGTTTATTTCCCCATCAAAACCATCCCATCCCAAACCAGAGTATTCAATCCAACAAATGACAACATTCAGAACCTATTTTATGATTAAGAAATGGAAGCACAACGAAGATAGGTAACTTATCCTAAGTTGCAGTTAGGAATTGGAGCAGCTGGAATTTGAACCAAGATGGTCTGGTGTCTCAGCAGATATCCAATATGGCAGATTAGAATGAAGGTTCTTGGGCTGGCCAGGCTGAGCTATTGCCCCACTTCTGTCATTTGCTAGCTCTTGACCTTGTACAAGCTGTCTGATCTCCCTATGCCTCAATTTCCCAACTTTTAAATTATACAGAATAATCACAGGTGGCTAAAGGTGTGTCAGTCAATTATGTCCTGATGAATTTTTCAAGATGTGTCCTATCCATAAGCAACATACCAAATAACCCTACCAAAGCACCCCTGTCAAACTAATGGTTTTTCATAGCCATCAGCAATTGTGTTAATTGGCTAATAAATTTTATCAGGCAGGAAGGAGTTGGGCATGAGAGGCCTTCCCTGGCTCCTCCTCCATGTCCAACCTTGATCTCACACTGGATTTTGGACATGAGGCTTAAGGGTGGGACTAATGAGGAGTTAGGAATAGTGGGGATCCACTGAGTTTTTTCATGCAATTTAAGATAAATGTAGCATATGTAGGATTTTCCCCATAGCTTCCATTCATTGGGTTTTGGTCCAATATGAATTTTTCAAGTGAATAAAGATAACTGCAAAATATAAAGGCTTTATTTACTTCACTGTTTACATTCAGAGTTTTCCTAAAATAGGAATTATTTCATGTAAAGAAAGATGACTATGTTGTCTAAAGGCTTTTTCATACTTTTCATATTCACAAGGTTTTCCTAGAATGAATTTTTTCATGTCTTTGAAGATGACTGTTGATGACAAAGGCTTTACTACATTCTTTACATTCATACGGTTTTTCGCCAGTATGACGTTTTTCATGTACCCACAAAGAAGCAGGAAATATAAAGGCCTTACCACATTGTTTACATTCATATGGTTTTTCACTCATATGTATTTTTTCATGTAACTGAAGATAACTGTGATATTTAAAAGCTTTACCACATCGTTTACATGCATAGGGTTTCTCTCCACTGTGTGTCCTTTCATGTCTTTGAAGGAAACTATATTGGCTGAAGGCCTTACCACATTGTGTACATTCATAGGGGTTTTCTCCAGTATGATTTTTTTCATGTAACTGAAGATAACCATGACGTCTAAAGGCTTTATCACATTGTTTACATTCATATGATTTTTCTCCAGTATGAATTTTTTTATGTCTTTGAAGAGTACCACACTGTCTGAAGGTTCTACCACATTGTTTACATTCATATGGTTTCTCTCCACTATGGATTTTTTCATGTACTTGAAGGTACCATCTAAAGGCTTTACCACATCGCTTACAAGTATAGAGTTTTTCATCACTATGGATTCTTTCATGCCCTTGAAGAGAAGTGGAAGAGCTCAGCTGTTTCCCACATATATTACATTCATAATGCTTTCTTACAGTTTGAGTTGATCCAGATGTATGAAATGAAGCAGCATAAGCAGAGGCCTTTCTATATTCTCTGAACTGATGAACTGTTTTTGCACTGTGTGCTTCCTGATTTATTACCAACAAACGTTGGAGATCAAAAACATTTAAACATGTCTTATATTCCAAAGGTCCATTCACAGTGTGAGTTCTCATATGTCTTTGACAGCTTGTGAGAGAGTTAGAGTTCTGTGGCTTGTTTCCATACTCCTCATGCTCGTATGGTTTGTACTGAGAGTGAGAAGGAGAATGGTTATTGAAGGGTGATTGACACATGGAAATCGTCCCACAAACATTGCTTTCACATGGTGTTAGGTCACTAGAAATTTTCATGCTCATATCAGCATTTCCTATCCACATGAAAGTTTCACCATCCTGAAGATCTTCTTTATGTTCACAGAATGTCTCAAATACAGAACTTCTGTAAAAATGACAAGTATATTAGTAAAAGTTGATTTATTACAAAGTGTAAGTCAAATACTATTTCCAAATTTAGGTAAGGTATATGTCTTCTGCCATATCTGAATGATTGGAAACTAAATAGATTAATAATTCTCACTGTTTGCATGTGATATCCCCTGCAAAGACTGAATAGGATTCTTAGTTTGAAGTACATGTTACATTTCCTAATAGTAAAAAACATAAGATTGTGCTTATTGTTTACTTATTCACAAATGCTCATATAAAAATACCTTTAATGGGGGCTCGAGAGAGTGCTCAGTGGTTAAGAACATTGACTGACACTGCAGAGAACCCAGGTTCAATTAACAGCACCTACATGGTGGCTAACAACCATCCGTAAACCCAGTTCTAGGGGATCCAACACCATCTTCTAACTTCTGGGGGCATTGCACAATATAGGTAGACTTATACACTTTCAGGCAATATACTCATATAAATAAAATTTATAATAAATAAAATATCTGTAATGGGAGCCTAGAGAGATGGCTCACCTTGTAAGCACTATTGCTGCTCTTACAGAGGACCAGAATTTGGTTGCCAGCACCCAAGTCAGGTAGCTTACAACCTGTTTATAGTTCCACCTCCAGGTGTCCAACAACTTCTGACTCCCTTGGACACACGCAAACAGGTTTTCAAAAACAGACTGGAGTACACAGGCACACACACGCATGCACACACACACACAATTTGAAAAAATATAAATCAAAAAATAAATTACGTCAAAGAAACTTTCCTTCTACTGTTTTCAAATTACCTTAGACTTTTTCCAGAACTTTTATAACGCTCTTTAATACTCTCATCTTCACAATACTTTCCTAAAATGGAGTCAAAGAAAATTTTGATGAATTCAAAATTATTGAAAACTTGGTTTCTAGCGCTAGTGTATATGATCCATGCTGGATTTATACACATTTTTCCCTTTCAATATTTCAAATCAGATAGGAGCATCAATTCCAAGAAACACTTTTTCCTTAGTATACTAAGGGAAGGCAAGATGATATTCCTGCAGGTTTCCAGCATCACATCTCTGTAGAGATTCTTCTGAAAAGGCTCCAGCAAAGCCCACTCTTCCTGGGTGAAGTTCACAGCAACATCCTCAAATGTCACAGAATCCTAAACATCCCATAGACTAAATTGGTACTATGTTCATACAATCCTGTGCTAGCCACACATTTTGCTCCATGACACAGAAGTTCTACTGCAGGATTTGGGTGGTTCTGAAGGACAGAGCGCTGGAGGGACACTCCTCTCACTGCTGCACACAGGGCACGGGATGTGCTGCTGCTCTGCAGCAGTTCTCTTCCTACAGCGCATGTCTGCTTCCTGTCTTCAGAAAGTCTGACCACCTGATGCACACAACAGAGGTAAATTAGCATGCAAGAGCCTGCTTGTCCTTAGAAATTCCTGCAATTAAGTTCAAGTTTTGATGATGTGAAGAAATTTAACATTTGGTTCACATTGCATGAACAAAAATGATAAATCACCTAGCAAAAATTATCCATACAAACTCTATGGAATGTTATGAACGTGCTGGTGCCAGCCAGCTGAGATGAACAGCACCTGAAAGGGGGAGTGAGGATTGAAAGAAAAACAAGAGACAGAGAAAAGATACTGGGAGGACTGTCAGTAGGGACTGCAGCCCCGGTTTATTTTAGCTCAGCCTTCTTACACAGCAGATCATCAGACAGCCACCATTTGCTTAGCTCAATTAGCTTCAACAGCTGTTTTTCCCACCTGTATCTGAGGGTCAAGGAACGGTCAAATACTTGTAGTGAATTCCACCAATTAACCATCTTCCCTAAATTATCAACACATTCCTCCTGACTTGGCAGAATAATTAGGTACTGGTGTGCAAAACACAAACTCTTGAGTCTAGGTGAAAGACCATAAAGTAAACAAGCAAGCCTGCCACAGCTCAATGTACATAATGGCTGTGCTTATACTAATAGCTCCCAACATGAATGCATCTCATTCTGAAAGTCTATTAATTTACTTAAAAGGCAGAGAGATGACTAGAGGATCAGCCCCTGAGACCCCAAATAATAACAGGCATTGAGTGTAATGAGTTCCCTGGTGGGCACAAATTCACACATGCTGTCACAACTTGTTAGTGGCAGAAATGAGTCCAATCTATGTGCTTACAGGGGAAATAATGTATATGCTACAAATAGTTTATTCAAGCACAATTTAAAAATTTTTTTACTTATTTTTACTTTATGTGTATGAGCATACTGCATACACATATGTAACTGCACCTGTGTTGTGCGGTGTCTGGGGAGGTCAGAAGACAACATCTGATATCCTGGCACTGGAGTTACTGACAATTGTTAGCAAACATGTCAGTGCTGGGAATTGAAACTGGTTACTCTGTAAGAGCAGCCAGTGCTCTTAACCACTGAGCCATCTCTCCAGCCTTTCAAAAGCACAATTTTAATCAAGTAACAAACTGGACACAATCAATATTTAAAGATCCTAAAACAATGCTTTTTACATTTTTTAGGTAATATCAAATGGGAATAAAGTAAGTATAAAGGAGATATGTGCTTCAGAAAGAACTCAATGTAGTCAGTAATGCTGTATAGTCACAGCTGTGTCAGAATGAGATGATAGCTTCCCATGAAAGCAAGTGTCCAAGTCAGGCTATGTAAGGTAGCAAAACTCCCATCTCAGGAAGATAAGAGGGAGGGAAAAAGGACTGGATTGGGGAAGGGCAGGAAGCAGGTCACCAAAATTCCTGATTTCATTTAATACTATTAGAGAAAAATTCATGAGTCACCAAACCAGATCATTTTGAACTAAAAATTATTTTTTGAGATGGATGAGGAATAGAAAAGTGTCTAGCAACTGTCAAAGACAAAGAACGACACAGTGATGTTTTGTCTAACACAATTCAAGGACTTCAAAAAAGTAAGGCAAAGACAAAGGGCTAAAATTAATTTTCACACTTTAAAAATCAGCTCACAGAGCTCAGGGAGCTGGCTCAGTAGGTAAAGGTCATGCCACACAAGCTTGATGACCTGAATTTGATCCCTGGAACCCACAAAAAGGTCAAAACAGAGAACAGAAAACAAAAAGTTGTTCCTCTGACAATTGTAACATGCACACACTCATATGCATACACATCATACACATAATAGTAATATTTTAAAACTTCAAAAAATTCGGGCCATCAAAATTTGCAGCCTAACCTTTAATGACCCATGACATAGTATACAAACATCTTCAGACTAATTTTTAGTCTGATAAGATAACCACTTTTAAAACAAGTTAAAATCTTCAATTTCAGTCTTTAAAAAAAAATGACATCAACTGCAGCAGTATGCCAGATACAGGCTCTGATCTAAGAACATCACAGTTGGCCAGGCCTTCATTTCCCTAGAAGACTTCTCCACAAGAAAAATACAAAGATAGTGCCTTTGTGAACATCACTTCCAGATCAGTCCAGCTCAACATCCAGACACCCAAAATGAAATTGGTTTTCACACCCATGAGGCAGAAATCCACTGTTTTAATGGGATGCCATGCCTTAGAGTGCTGAGACGAGTTCCTTTCACATAACTGGGAGATCTATCAACCTACACCTGCCTTTTACATTGGCACTACACATACTTGGAAACTATGATGGATCTTGCAGCCTCCATACTCTGACCTGGGGAAGGACTCAAAATTTGTATAAATTTAAACCTCAGACCTTTTCATGAGCCGATGGTACCATGTCTATTCATACCACAGATGGCAATGACACTCAAAAGAAATGATTCTACCAAAGTCTAGTTTAATAAATTTACTACACTTACTTACAGAAGAATGGGTGATGGGCTACTTCCAGGACCATGGCTGACAGAAAGACAGGTGTATCATGGAAAATCCCCCTTAGTATGTGTAATGGTCCAAAAAAAATCCCCTCCATCTAGAAAGGTTCCTGAATAACTACTGGGGAGTTTCAAGGCCAGAGAGTGAGCACCTTCAGTATTTGTTAGTGTCTATATGCATATATAATGTTCATGAGGGGCATTGTGAACCTTCTTTCGGGAGATTACTGAGCCTCCAAAGTTTACTTTAACAAAGAACTTTGTCTTTATGTGTATGTTCATGGCTCTGAGTGAATGCCATGCATATTTAGTTCCTTCAGAGGCCAGAAGAGGATTTCAGATTCTCTGGAACTAGAGCCACAAGTAGTTGTGAGCCCCAGGTATGCCTGCTGGAAACTTAACTCTGGTTCTACAGATGAGTAGCAAGTGTTCTGAACTGCTGAGCCATCTCTCCAATCTCCTAAGTTTACTTTTTAAGTGTTATCAGTCTCTCTATTCCCTAAATGAGAAAAATGTGAATTTAGAAGAAATACATATGAAACACTCCATCTCTTCTCAGGTTCTTGCATGTGTTTCCCCCCTTTCTTGTCATTCTTATGACATGTGCTCTGAGCCCCTATTTGTATCCTTCTGTGCTTCTGGTGACTTCTAACACAAAGGGACAAAGGTATCATAGGGAAGACACTTGTTCAGCCCATCCTACAAGCAATCTATTGACTCTATGCAATTACGATTAAAATTCCAACATAAATTTTCACAGAAATTGAAAAAATAATCTCAAATTTCATTGGGAAGCACACACACACACACACACACACAAAAAAAAAAAAAAAAAAAACTCACAGTACAGACAAAAAAACCTGAACAATAAAAGAAATGCTACGGAGATTATCATCCTTGATCTCAAATTATATAGCAAAGCTATAATAATAAAAACAGGTGGCACTAGCATCAAAACAGAAACACTGATCAATGGAATAAAAGTGAGGACCAAGATTTGGTTCTACATAATTAAAACAACTTGATTTTTAATAAAAGGGCCCAAAACACATACTGGACAAAAAAAAATAGTATGTTCAAGAAATGGTGCTAGACAAACTGGATTGCTACATACAGAAGAGTGAAACTAGTTCCGTATCTCTCACCATGCACAAAGCTAACTCCAAATGGAACAAGGACTTCAACATAAGACCTGATACCCTGAACCTTATAGAGGAGAAAATAGGGAATACACAGGAAATAACAGACACAGGAAAGGACTTTTTGAACAAGACTTCTATAGCACAGGTATTAAATCCACAATTGGGAAATGGAACTTCATGAAACAAAAAGTTTTCTATATGGCAAAAGGTACCATTATTCAAGTGAAGAGGCAACCTTCAGAATGGAAAAAAATCTTTACAAGCTATGTCTGACACAAGATTCATATCTAGAACATATAAGGAATTTTTAAAACTTAAAAAAAAGACAAAAAATTAAAAATTGGAGTAAAATATTGAACAAATAATTTTCAAAAGATGAAACACAAATGGCTGAGAAATATTTAAAAATTGTTTGACATTTTTAATCATCAGGTGAATGCATATTAAAACAATTTTGATATTTCATCTTACCCCAGTCAGAGTGGCTAAGATCCAAAGCACAAATGATGACAAATGCTGGCAAAGATGGGGGAATGGGTAACACTTATTCACTGTTGATGGGAGTATAAACTAGTGCAGCCACTATGGAGATCATTGTGGAGATTCCTCAAAAAGATGAAGATACATCTCCCACATGATCCAGTCATATAACTTGGGAATATGCCCTAAGGACTCTGTATTCTACTACAGAGATACCTGTCCAAGCATGGTCATTGCTGCTGTATTCACAATAGCCAGGAAATGGAAGCAACCTAGATATCTATCAACTGATGATGAGAATGACATTATGGAACATTGTGCATTGAACATTAGTGAGCTCTTAAGAAAAAAGAAATTAGGAAATACACAATTAAATGGATAGAACTGAAAACAATCATTCTGAGTGAGGTAACCAAAAGCTAGAAAGACAAATGCCCCATGTTCTCTTATAAGTGAATGCTAGCTTTGAATGCGTAGATATGCGTGTTTCAACTGGAAAATCCACAGAGACCAGGAAACTAGTATATGATCATGAGAAATGGGGATAATGCCATAGAAAGGGCTAAAACAGGTGGGGAATAGGAGGGCAGTACAAAGGAGGGTGCAGGGTAGGGATAAAAATACTTAATCCTTTAGAAAACTCATATATTCAAGCACGGTGGCCAAAGTCTTTAACTGC